TCGATTCGTTGCATTGTCGACTCGATCTCTTCCTGCTTGAGAAACTTGAAACATCTGTGGGCATTCTCAGGAAATTCCACTAGGGCAAAGTAGCTGAGAAACCCCAGAACAGAGGTGAACCCTCCCTCAAGGATAAAGATCCAGCGCCATCCAGCCATATGCGAGATGCCCGCCATCTTGCCTATTCCGAATGCTAGTATCTGAACGTGGCTTTGTCAGAGAGAGTGGGTGGGGTCAGCAGGGCTTTCACTCACTCCACCAAACCCAGAAGCAATGCAGGAGATAAGCCAAAAGGTCGCATATCGCTTTTGAAGCTCAACTGTGCATTCTTATTAGCTTCTTACCTGTTCGTTATTCATCTTCCAGCATAGTGTTCAACAGCTGAGCGAACTTACATCGAATGTACCAGGTCGACATGAGGTAAACGGCCACTGGGAAGTAAGCGGCCTCAAAGGCTCCGAGAAGGACACGGAGAGCTGCCAACTGCTTCCACGTTTGTACCACTCCTTGACAAAGTAGCACCACTCCCCAGATCACACATATCAAAGAGATGAACACTCTGACACCTATCTTGCGCGCGAATAGTGTAGCCGGGAACTGGAACAGGATGTATGGCGCAAAGAACACCAAAGCGACAATGTTGTAGCGGTTGCTGACTGTGAGTTCAAGCTCGGAGCTCATGCTAGCTGATGTTAGCGATCAATCCATGGCTTGTTGATGAGATGCACCAACCCATTGATATTGGCATAACCCAGGTTGCCACGATCGAGTAAACTGATGAAATATAACACGCCACAGACAATGATGACTCTCAAATCGATCTTCTTAAGAATCCTCTTTCTTTCTTTAGGAGTGGACACGAATTCCGGCGTGTCAACCAGCTTGACGCTCAGTTGTGGGGATTTTTCTGCATCTCCAACTGTCGTCATGATCACTTAGTATCGCAAGATATAGTATGCTGAGTAGATATCAAGGTTGGAAGAATGGCAAGAGAAGGGTTCCCATCATACTCACAAATTATGCAGCTAGATATGCACTTTATAGGATTTCTTGATGGCGAGCATGCAACAAGAATACAAACTCCACTTCCGAACATCATCCAGGTCTAATTGATCCATAATTCCCGAACAACGTGAAAGATGCCAATATTTAGCCCGTTTAAGCCATGGTAGTCTAGCTCAAAAACCAAGCATGATGGTGGCTGAGTGGCTGATGACTATACTCCCCGCATCATCAAAACTGTAGCAGCTGGCGGAAGCTTGGCAGGGATTGGGTATTGTTTTGAGTGGCCCACGACCTGCGCTACCAGTGCCGAGTCAAGACTACTTGAGAAACACCTTACATGGGCAATGGGCTACAAATCCTGACCCCGAAGCACGGGTCTTGGAAATGAGAAGCTGCTAGTCGCATTGAAGCAAGGGCCTTGCCCATCCCTGAAGCGAATACGTATGTATGCGCCACGCCACCCAGGATTGGTGTTACGGGCCGAACACTGAAAAGTGAACGGGCATCTGTCTTCACAATGAGCACTTTACACTGGCTTCTATCGATCAGTCTTGTTTAAGGAGGGGTAAGTTAAATCAGTTACATTCTAATTGATAAAGATTGCAGCAATACCATGGTGCCCAATTTGCTCGTCGTTATCATACCTTTGCAGGTGAAGCCCTGATTGATTCTAGGCTGGCAATGCTTCACGAAGAGTGAGACAGACTTCTCCTAAAGCTGTCTCTTTGTTCTTGCTGGGGCAACGAGGCTCAGTCATCAAGAAAACGTGTGGAAACATGGCCACCAGCGATCCACAAGTCTATCGCGAGTATCGTGTTATCTCGATACATTAGAATGTGGTTTAAATCTCAATTCTCCTCCGTATTCTATGAAAATGGCGGGTCTTCCAAGTGACAAGTCCTCCTATCTGCGACGGGCATTGGTCTCCTACGATAAATCGTCAATGTGTGAGACAACGCCTCCACGTATTCGTCTAGGCTGTGGAGCATATGCGTATGGATAGTGGCCTCCAAGGTGATTCCCGTTAGAAACAATGTTCCTGCCCCCGCTTCCCCGCAAACTCCACCTCCACCACGGTAATAAAAATGAGGCTACTGGGGTAATCTGCGGGGGTTTTGTCCGGGTGGAGACAACCCAAGTCTTCACAAGCACTTTAAGGGTATCATACTTCTATATAAGCGTACTGAGATTGCTCTAGGGTTGTCGGGCACCTCGTTAGGCTAGGAAGATAATATTGAGTAGATAACGAAGCGACGGGATCATTTTTAGACTCAACATCCTAGCGATCGTGATATTTATATTAACCGAGTTGTCATTGGGCATAATGCACCCTGGATGGTCTGTTGATTTAAGCAAATTGAAAATTGGCAGAACTTATGGATTGATGATGTACACGAAAGAGATGCGGTGTCCAAGCTTGATATCAAAGGCCTTCCATCGCCAACGAGGCGCTTTCGATGCTTATCAAAGAACGATAAATTTAATGTATATATACAATGATGGCGTGAGGGCCACCTTGGAACGGGCTCTCGCAGTGTCCGAAGAAACGGCATCTTCCGTTAGGATGCACGCTATCAGTAGGGTGACTACATAAACTGCTTTCTGGAGTTAAGCGATTGCATCCTGCCTCAGACTTCTGAGATATCGGAAAGCTTACTCGTAGCTTAGGTTCTCTCATTGAGCATGTAATATCTAGTGCCGTGGGTGCCGGGTAGAGTAAATAATTGCACTTGACAGTTTTGTTAAAGGTATACAACTATCTTCTGTTTCAACGCTTGATTGACACTTTATTAAGGCTATATGCCCTGAGCCATAATCAGGTATCACTTGGAACTCCCTCAGCCAAGCCGAGCAAGGTCCTTCTATGCAATATTAGTACTAACGGCGTCATTAGCAAAGGACTAGTTTGTCACGTTGGGATCTAGTGGAGCGATTAATCATGCTTGCATCTCAATGACCTTATATACCTCCTTTATAGCATGCGCTGGCTCTGGGAGAAATAACAATTTATCTGAAACTCTGCGACATGGACTGTCTAATGTCACAGGTCAACCAACCTCTCTACCTTGACTAACATAGTAGATGTTGAATAGAAACGCTTGGAATGCGTTTGAACAATAGCTGTAAAGCCACTAGCAATCTTAAGAAGCCGCCCATTTGTGGCATGTCCTGGAAGCATTCATGCAGCTGAACTAGTGAAGCAGCAGCAAACACATCAAGTAAATGATTGTCAGGTCACCTATGCAAGCCTTGTGGAAGTATCGAGATCTAGAAATACATAAGAAAGGTATACACGTCTCAAAAATAACATCAGTCACAGTCTATGTATTGTATTGAAAATAATTCCTCGCTACATCCTGTCTTATATAGTTTAAACGCTGACATGAAAGGTAGCCCTGGAGAAAAATGACAAGGTTGTTCCGGGACTGCCTTCACCTGGAGCACGACCCCCACTGCCAAGGTAATGACCAAGAGAATAACAGGTCGATCCCGCTGCTAGCTCGTATGGCATTGAAAAATAGTATCTGAGTGACACCATCCCAAGTAAGACAATCACCTTGGGCATGATAGAGATAGCGATATTATAAGCCGATTCGGATCTCGGGCCGTGGCTCTAGTCGTGTACAGTACCCTACTGTTTAGCCTTGACCCACTGAACTGATTGGGCGTATTATGGCCACAGAGAAAGGGCCTGCCTTACTTAAACAATCTATATCGCCTCCTGTATGAAACGACAACATGTCACGCGCTTCCTTTCTCGTTGGAAACATAACCCTTGGAATTGAACTCGTACAGATTTTCTTTCTGTTCCATCATAAATGACTTGGAGATTAAAATGGATCCGGATCGGATCTCGGATGATAGAGGTCTTGGCTGCTCTTTTTATCTCTTGGCCTTCACTGCCAAGAGATAAAGCGATGGTATTAGCGTGATCAGATTTTGATGTTTCGCAACTTTGAAAGTCAGTAAATAGAACTATACAGGTGAAAGGGCTGTTCAGCATTTGCTTTCCAGGGCGTGTAGCATGTCGAAAAGGCGGTATCATAGTTGGGTCAGGTGGCAGACAGGGGTGAGTGGAAAGGTCTTATTACAGGACATACAATCTCTCTAAAGCGGCTTGGAATGCGCATTAAGTAACAGAATTTCGATGAATGGTCCCTTGTAGTTCTTGAATTGACGTCTAAGAATTGATAGCTTGGTCTCAAGCCTACTTACAAAATAGAGCTTTGCGGGCAGGAACAGAAGTATGACACATGCTATATTGTATAGAAATATGCACAATCCGTTCTCGGGCTTGGCCCGGCTGGGCATCTGCCCATTTGCTCATTGGATGAAGATAAGCGACAGCCTCAACTATATACATCGTAGTCGGCTTGGCATTTGAAAAGTACAAATACTACGCCCCTGCTCGTCAATCAGGTATAGGACAACTACGGGCAAGGTCAATTCATCCTCAAGTTTTCTTAATGGCAACAAACATACCCGTTGCCGAAAGGGCCAGCGTGACTGATGCTCCAATCAATCTCAAAGAGATAGATGATGCCGCTGAGGACATTACAGAAGCGGTAGTCGAGTATTCAGATGCATATTACCGGAAGCTACTTCTGAAAATCGACTTATGGCTCCTACCGCTAATGTGGTTCTGCTATGGCACACAACAAGCAGACAAAACATCTCTTAGTACTCAGGCAGTCTTTGGCATTCGAGAGGACACGAACCTTGTGGGCGAGCAATTCAATTGGCTGAGCACAGTCTTCTACCTCTCATATATGGTGTGCGAGTTCCCGGGCAACTGGTTGATGCAAAAGTGTCATACTGGCAAGTTTTTGTCAATCGTTATGGTCCTATGGGGGATCATTGTTCTCTGTATTGCATTCGCCAAGAATTTCGCTCACCTGATGGTCCTTCGCACTTTCCAAGGAGCTCTAGAGTGTACCATCTCACCAACATTCATGCTGATTACAGGAGCATGGTACACCTCGCAAGAACACACGATGCGATCTCTGGTTTGGGGCACATCAAATGCCGGGATGAATATTATCGCTGGTCTTAGCATGTATGGAATCGGACTCCATGCAGAGAAGAATCCTGATGGTCTGGCTGCAGTATGTGAATGTTACTTCTACTTTGTCTTGAAACACTGTTATTAACTTATTCATAGTGGAAAGGCATCTCTTTCTTCCTCGGAGCTTTGACAATCACCCTTGGAATCATGGTTTGGTTCGTTCTCGGAACGCCTCGTGAAGTTCGATGGCTTAGCCAAGACGAGAAACGAGCTGCTGTTGCGCGAGTCGTTGCCAACCAGACTGGATCGGATCGCGAAAAACGTTCTGACTTCAAGTGGGAACAGGTTTGGAGTACTTTCAAAGGTATAGCGTTTGCCATGGTCCTCATCCGCCGGCTATCGTCAACAACTGCTAACGAACTCCCACAGACCCTCAGACCTACTTCTTCTTCTTTGTGACCATCATCAATGCATTGCCAAATGGTGCGAATACGACGTTCTCGAAGCTTATATGGAAATCATTTGGCTTCACCCCACTAGAGACTCTCCTCAAAGGATCAACACCCTACTATGCTCTAAGCATTTGTTGGTTCTTAATCGTCGGATTTATCACACTCAAGAAGCCAAACTTTCGATGTACGCTATCCCAATGGATTCTAGAAGCTCCTGCTGATTGCTGATATTGCAAAGTTTTCATGATGATGGTCGCCCTCATCCCAGCATTCACTGGAATGATGGCACTCTCGCTTCTCCCCTCGAAGTCAAACATGTGGTTAAGATGGGGCATGTACATGATGCAGGTGTTCGGATCGCTGCCAGGATTGAGTAAGTGTCCCTTCTGGATACACAGAACACCTACTAATGCCGATTTAGTGATTTGGACTTTCCTGCCATCTAATGTGGCTGGAAGAACTAAGAAAACGGTCACTGCCACCGTTCTCTTCATTGCTTACTGTGTCGGCAATGCCGTCGGAGCTCAAATGTTTGTAGCTTCTGATGCCCCTCGGTACATTCGAGGTATCACAGCCTGTGGTGTTTTGTACTGTGTAGAGTTTATGTGCATGGCGTCTTGGCGATTTTACTGTAAGTCATACGTATCATGCAAAACGGAACCGAAGTGCTAATTGATCACAAGATATCTGGGAAAATAAGAGACGGCGCAAGATCATCCAGGATCAGGGCATCTCGGAAGAGGAGAGCGAGCACCTTGGAAGGGTTAACGCCGAGAGTGACATGACGGATCGTGAGAACATCCACTTCAAGTACAAATATTAGTAGACAGGCGGCTGGGAATGAGAAACAAGTGGCGATGATAATAGTGCACTGTGAACTTCGGTTCTTCTATGCTTGCCAGTTTCTGTATTATATTAGCCAGGCTATTTTTCCATAGCATGACAACTAAATTTGTGGGGACGTTGCTAACAGTCTACTGAATACTTGTGTATCTACTTCACGTAACAGTACTCTCGACGGCAATAATCCAGTCTCTAAATCCGCTTCGTGTTAAACCCGTGACCAAGTTTGTTACATTTGCAGACCTCCTACCAGCTATACCTGAACATTCTATCTTCCTTGTCTGTCAGATCTGTTTTCGGTGCTCCGTATTTGTCAAGAAGCACTTGATCCTGTGACCCCAAGTTGCTCGCAGTCCCGACGTCAAGATTGTCTCGTATCTTGTTATCGTGCATGCAGACAATCCTATACCCGATGACAACAACAAACAGGAGACACCAAGTGACAATAGCTGTAACGACGCCATTAAAATACCTTGGGGATACTGTCCAAAGTTGTGGAGAGCCGATGCATCCAGCACAATATCCAATGAAGAACATGGCGTTCACAATAGATCGTTTGGTGTTTCCTTTGACATTCGAAGCGGTCAGGGACAGCGGGATTGACATTATTGACGTGATACAAGACGCCTATAATGAATTTAGTGATGTTCTAACTAGGAGTATGTTGAGGGTTGTCAAGCTTACCAGCCATGAAGCCGCGATTATTCCCCATCCCGCAGTGAGAGATAGTTTGAAAAGAAGAATATTACCAATAAGTGGCGGAAATATCAGAGCCAAAACGACCAACGTTCGGTTGCGAGGGAAAAGCCAACAGCCCAGAACACCGATCCAGAGAAGAGCGATCTGTACAGCCCCACATGGCGCAGTATATAGGATCGTCTGGTACTTGTCATACCCAATCGACTTGATAACCAGGGATGCGAACTATGTTCTCTTATGAGCATAGCAGTATATTACAGGTGTGAAGGAACTCACTGTCAGAACAGGTGACTGCATTGTTACAAGGACACCAAACCAGAAAACAAACCATGACTTTGGATCGAAAAGCGCCTCCTTGAGCTGTCTAAGCGAGAAGGATGTCTTGTCACCACCTTCACGATCTTTCACCATGCGAAGTGACAGCACCTGCTTTTCTCTGGCCGTGAGGAACCAAGCATCCTTGGGGCCATTAGGCATGAGAATGTAGAAAATCACCCCTGCGGCTGAGGTCAGTGCACCGCAGATAAGGAAGAGTGTACGCCAAGGTTGAAGAGCCAGTGAAGTATTCTTAGCGATGCCGTACATCAGCAAGCAGCCGACGACTTGCGCTAGGCCATTCATGGTGATCCAAATACTTCGTGGATGTTAGCGCATGACGGACAGTTGATATAAGTTTTGCAAGCTACTTACCCCGTGCGAGTAGCATGCTCTTCCTTTCGATACCATATTGCTGTGATGCTAACAAAGGCAGGAGAAACTGCACCTTCTGCAAAGCCTAGTAGAAATCGAACAGCTGCAAATCCGGCAAAGTTCTGCGGTGCAGCAAGACACATGCATATAACTCCCCAAAAGGCACTTGTGTTACGTCAGTAGATAGAGCAAGTGGATGTCATTGTTCACTCACACTGTTACGCCGACGAACTTGGTGAGATGCAGCTTGCTCATCAAGTAGATGAAAGGATACTCGGCCACAAGCTGCCCGACGTAGAAGATCGAAGAGCACCAGGAGTACTGATGGCTAGTCATTCTTAGATCGGTGATTAAACCAAATACCTGTGTATTCCTTTCAGTGATTTGTTCGTCTTACAACTCATCGTAGCTGGCTTACGCTGGCATAGCTAAGACTTTGCTTGTCCAGGTATTGGAGGAAGAAAACGAAGCACATCTTACAAATGTTAATCTTTGAGATGTTTGAGTGAGAGGATATTGTTATTTACGTACCATGGGTAGCACTGTCATGTCAATCTTTCTCAATACCTGTTTCTCTTCCTCGGGCGTGTAGGAATCGGATGCCACTTCGACAACATCGCCAGGTTTCTCGTCATGGCCGTCTCGGCTGCCGTTGCCCTCTGGCGCCGCTTCCGGCCTTGGGGACTTGGTTTCGAGCTGCGCATTCATGTTTGAATAGGATAGATTCAGTTGTGTACGTTGGGAAAGAGGATCACATTCAGTCTCATGTCATGACAGACCCAGACCATAGAGTAGCTCACTACGAATAACAATATCGGCCGAGCAAGGTGACATGTCGCAGACGTGCCGATATCCAATATTTAAATCCATATTGAAGGGGAAAGCGGAGAATGTCATATCTCTCATCAAGCTGTCTGTGCTTGTCTCCTTGATAACATGTGGGGAAGTGGCAGATTGCCGATGTTGGGTGGCCAAATACCCGACAGTAACTATCGGTAACCTGGCAAAGACCCGCCGTTTGGGTGAGGTGCTTAACGCTACTGTTCCCGCGCTAATTGCTTGGGTGAGCACCCCATCTTGCGCTGTCGGCAAGCCTGTAAGACGCATGCAATCTGCCGTTCGTTGAATTTGTCGAATGGCTGGCCTTCCTCGACATTACGTGTGCTTCAACATGGTCACTACTTAGATGCAAAACAAATCCTATTTTCGCCTCTTTCCATTCTCAACGTTGTAATTCCCATTCACAATGGTAACGGCAAGGGAGATCAGGGTCAAACCCTGGCTGCGCTCAGCACCGAAGTCGTACGTGCTGTCCAACGCAACCGTCGTCGATGTGTCTACCGGCTCATTACTACAGAACGTAGATCTCAAGGTTGAGAATGGCAAAATCACTTCCATTCAGCCCTTCGATCCTACAGAATATTCATCGGTTTATGAGATTATCGAATGTCAAGGGCACTATCTATGTCCTGGTCTAATTGACTCACACGTGCACCTGGTGGCGGTCCCGGGATATGACAACCTATCGAAGGCATTTGGAAACCCGGCAGACGTTTCTCTTCTGCGTCAACCGTATGTCTGCGCTCAAATGCTCCATCGTGGCTTCACCACCGTCCGGGACTGCGGAGGGGCCCTCTTTGCGTTGAAAGAGGCGATCGAAGATGGCGTGTTTCCAGGCCCCAGACTTTTCATTGCAGGCCACGCGCTTTCTCAGGCGGGCGGGCACGCAGATTACAGAGGACCGCATGACCATAGTGCTTGTTGCGGAGGCTCGACAACAGGATTGGGAAGGCTGTGCAATGGCGTCGCAGAATGCATGGCTGCGGTGCGCGATGAAGTACGAATGGGAGCGGATTTCATCAAAATCATGGGATCAGGAGGTGTATCGAGTCCAACTGATCGTATTGATCAATTGCAATTCACAGGCGCGGAGATCAAGGCAATCGTGGCTTGCGCTGACAATGCTGGCGTGTACGTGACAGCACACGCATACACCCCTCGGGCTATCAGGCACTGCGTGGAACATGGTGCCCTCGGGATCGAGCACGGAAACTTCATTGATAGGCCAACTGCCGAGCTACTCGCCAATAAGGGTGTATTTTTGACGCCGACACTGGTGACTTATGCCGAAATGGCCAACGAGAAGTGGGCAGGTTACCTACCGCCTGAGAGCGCAGCCAAGAATGTAGAGGTCCTCAAAGCTGGATTACAAGCATTGCGCATTGCAAGTAAGGCTGGTGTCACACTATGTTACGGCTCCGACTTGCTAGGGCCGTTATCAGCTGCACAGACGTATGAATTCACATTACGAAGTCAGGTTCTCACCCCGTTGGCGGTACTCCAAAGCGCAACTATTAACCCGGCTCGAATGCTGAGGCGTGAGACAGAGCTAGGCCAGCTTAAAGAAGGGTTTGCGGCGGACATTCTTGTTTTGAAGAAGAATCCTCTGGAGGATGTGACTATCTTGGACAATCCCGAGGAGAATGTACTGATGATTATGAAGGAAGGTCGCATATACAAGAGCCGCTGGGCTAATGCGAGTGAAGATGCAACTATCCCAGTACGCGTGAAGGCTGTATTATAAGCCGTGGAAGGAGAAGCAGCGGCGAGTTCGTCTGTAGACCGTCACACTGTCAACTACATATCATAGGTCAAATAGCTTTTAGAGTGCTGTATAGCAGACAATGGAAACGAGCTACTACCGTAGCAGAATTACATCGGTATTCCCTGGTCGTATCTGACTGTTAACTCATTGATATGAGGCCAATGGTCCGATGGATCTTTCTAAACTCTCAATGATATGAGGTCCACTCACTGAATTGAATGGACAAGAAGTATGACGTGCATCTTGTGCTTCATCCGATATCACGTCGGTATTTAGTCCTGGCTCTGTCGGCTAGCTGACCATCAAAGGCGGCCGAGATTGGGTCGTTGTAAAATACTGTATCTATTGATAACATTGCCCCACATATGATAACACCTTGTATACCCTGGATATGCTTAAGTAGTCGCCATGATGCAGTGTATCACAGAAGATCAGCCTATCTGCCTCAAAGTCATCGTATGTACACGTGTGAACCATGTGGCGACTAAACGTTCTGATCTTGGTGACTCTGGTCCCCGCAGTCATCACTAGTCTCATCGTGAAGGTCTTGAATGGTTCCTACCAAGGTTATGACCTCCCTGAACATGGCCAGGATGTGTTCTTGGGTATGCCATATGCACAACTCCCAATTGGCAACCTTCGTTTCCGGGCACCGCAAAGCCTGAACAGTACTTGGACTGGCACCAAATCCGCAGTCCCCTTTTCAGAAGTCTGCATGCAATACATTGTACGTGAAATCCTTCAGCACAAGTGAAGCCTCATAGGCGTTGACCTGATCCCTCAGTATCCTCCTGCTTTTCCCATGTCTGAAGACTGCTTGACTTTAAATGTAGTGCGTCCGAAAGAGGCGTTGAAACAGAAGCTACCAGTTGCAGTATGGATACACGGGGATTACTCTCTGTCTTATCTGACTCCGTCCATACAATACCACCGAAGTACCTTTTGGCATATGACGATCCTCGCAGGGGCGGACTGTATAGTGGCAGCTCGGCCGGGACCAACTTGACAAACTTTGTCAGGCAGGCTTCAAAGGCCAAAAAACCTGTAATAGCCGTGTCTCTCAATTATCGACTGAGTGCCTTTGGGTTTCTGTGGGGTAATACGACCGAAATACTCGCCAACAGTAGTGCAAATAATGGTCTTCGAGATCAACGACTCGCGCTGCACTGGATCCAGGAGACCATCAGGTATTTTGGTGGTGATCCATCTCGAGTTATCATCTGGGGCGAAAGCTCGGGCGCCTTGTCGGTCGGCAAACATCTAATTGCATATGGTGGACGTAATGATGGTTTGTTCCGCGGTGCAATCATGGAAAGCGGCAGTTTGGTGGGAAAATAGCCTTACAACATCAAGGATCCCCTGGCCTATACTGCTGATCTCTACCGCAACCTCACCGAGACAACGGGCTGTTCACAAGCTGACAGCGCTGAACTTGAATGCCTACGCTCATTACCTCTCGATGTACTTTCAACTGCTTTGAATGTCAGCCATACGCCTGTTTTCAGTGGAACGGGACTTGGCCCCCGGCTGACTCGGGTCGATGGCAATTTCTTGCAGGATGGTCCTACTGACTCACTAGATAAAGCCCACTTTGTCAACGTGCCGATCTTATACACCACCAACACAGATGAGGCGACCATATTCGGCTTTGGTGGACAAGTCAACACGGATGAGGACTTTCGAGCCTTTGTGGCAACTGGTGGTCCAGATAACGCCACAATCGAAGTTATCGAAACACTTTATCTTGATATCAACGCTGTCGGCTTACCAGCAGGTTACCAACAGTCACCCAGCAGTGATGAAGTCTATGGCAAGCAGTGGAAGCGTGAGGTGGCATTTCATACCGACGTTGTCGAAACCGTATCGCGACGGAAGGTTCTCGATACATGGGCTACAACTAACGGCATCGCATACTCTACACGCATCAATCTGATGCCTCTTGATCAGGCTGCAGCAGTCGGCTCCCCTCATGCCGTTGAACTAGCATTCGTTTTCAATAACGTTGCTAGTTCTAGTTATAACGACGAGCTACGATCAGTATCAACCCTAATGAGTAGAGTTTGGGCATCTTTCATCTCAGACTTGAATCCGAATCATCATGGAGGCAGGTAGTCTCTACACATCTGGACGATTCTTTCGATTCTGTCGTTCTAATTAAAAACTACTTACTGTATGTGGAGTACCCAAGTGTCCGCGCTGGAATTTGACAAATCCGGATGGTGTCGGGACGAATTTCGTCTTCAATTCTAATGGAACAAATGGCCTCAACTCATTTCTCGAGCTCGATGATTATCGGCTTACGCAAACTAGATATCTAAAAAACTATCATGAAGAGTAAAATGTGCTATGAGGCGGTACGCATGTAGAGGGAGAGCTTGACCATCTTGTGGTAAACATGAGGTTGACCACTCTCAGCACATCTTTCATTCGTTTAACTATTCATTCTGCTATCACTCCACAAAGTTCAATACATCCATGCCAGTCAACCCCATGAGATAGACTTGATCATCATCAAAAGGCCCGGGAGCAGAGAACAAATAAGAATCGAAATTGCCCGCAGGGTCAGTGGTGTTGTCCGGTAATGGCATGAGCAAAGAATGTGGTGTGACCTGTTGAAGAGCCGTTGCTCCGTCCCAAGAAAGCGAGCCTGGGATTTGATGTCCCATGGCCCACAAACTAGTATGCTGAGTTTGTAATGTGGAGGACTGTTCGGTTGAAGATTGACCTGATGGTGAGTCATTTCCGCTGTGGAGAGAATGTGACCTAGACAACCACACCAGCCAAGCGTCATAATCAGAAGATTGTCCTGTTTGAGACGTTTGAGCTGCCGTTGTTGGAGACTGAACATCTTGCAGCTTTTCCACGGCCTCATTCGCAATAGATTGTAGAGCTCCCACAAACGAAACACCCATCTTTGCAGTCATGTTCCCCTCAGCCATTCTATGCAGGCAGTCAAGCCCTAATTGAACCCTAGCCTCATACCCAGAATCCCTCTCCAGAATGCCAGCTAGGAGGATAATAATCGTGGCGGTGCTACACCCCTGAAAGTCGGTGAATGAAAATCTAGTAAGGTTTCCTGTTCCTTTGATTTCTTCAAACATGG